CCGGCGTCCTCGGCTCATCCGCACTCGGACTAGGACTATTAGAAAACAAACCCCCCTCAGGACTCTGCTCAATCACATACGCCGTGTCGCCAATAGGCAAACCGTGTGACAGAGGTTGCGATAAAGAGTGTGCGGACATGGTGCGCGATAGATCGTGGTGGTGTTGCGACATGGGACTACCCGGGTAGGAGCGTGTGGGTGGGGAGAAGAGATCGAGATGAGCGTGGTGGTGTGGACCAAGGACGTTGGCGTTGGGATTATTGAGGGCGAAGTCGTCGGTTCGGGAAGAGGACGACGACGGGTAGCCAAAGTCTACATCGCTTCCGTAGTATGGGCTGGGTGGGTAGGCGTCGGCTGGTACGCTGCGATAATTCGGATCGAAAGCCGCGGGCACAGACCGGGACATGTACTGATCGTTGCCATTGCGATATCCGTCGTGCATTCTTCCACTTCGTTTCATCCTTGCTGAGCGACGCGCAGCTTGGCCGCCCTTGGCGCCGGAGGCTTGTCGCTGGGGCTGTGGTTGCTGGGTTCGGTGGCCGCGCTTGTTGGGCTGCTTGCTGCGGTAGCGGGTTGTGGATTTGACGCCTTCACGGATGGCTTCATCGGTCAGGCGCCACATGAAGCCTTTGCGGGACTCTTCGCCTGGTTGGTCGACTTTCTCGAAGGCCTGGGCAGATTAGTATGTACAAGAGAAGAGAGGTAAAATGGTGAAGGAAGAGGAGACATGACTTACCCCATTCATTGACAGATTGTGTCGGATGCTGTTCTGCCAGCCTTTCGTCTCCGAGGCGCTGGCCTTGTCGGTGTTGGCTTTGAACCACTCGTAGATGTCCCGGAGAATCATTGTATTGTTGGGCGCGTTGAGGAGGGCTTGGTAGATCAGCTGCGCGTAGGGCTGCTCTTTGTCGATGACGCCATCTCCAGAGAGATCGTGGGGATGTCGAGGGGGATCGTCATGAGGAGTGGATGCGCGGGTCAGGTCAGAGTACGGGCTCTGGTAGCCATTGGACTCCTCGACCTTCATATGCGCACCATACGGATGATGGTCGAAGTCGTTGCTTAGCTGCATGAGCTGACCGCTGATCTCATGGTCTGACAAGTCCATCGCGTCAAGGTGGTTCGGCGGTTCGATGTGGTATGCGGTGGGTGGATGTGAATCGGTCATACTGATATCGGCAGGAAGGCCAGAGAGGTCAACGCCGGTGTAGGATCGGGGGCAGCTTGCGTTGGAATACTGAGTCGGGTACGCGATACCGAAGTTGTCGTTGTAGGACAATCCGTTCTCGGCGTAGTTGTAGAAGTCTCCGGTACCAGGTGGAAACGGGTTAGACGCATTGTAACCCGCGCCATTCTGGGTCATGGAGTTGAGGAGGAAGTTGGTCGGGGCAGTCCACTGCATTGGCTCTTGTTCGTCGAGGCTCATGGCAGAGTGCGGGGTAGTGTCGTTGTTGGAAGGTGCAGGTCCCTGATCGGAAGGTGCGGTGAGCGGGACCTCAATAGGCAGCCTGGGGGAAAGAGACAACACCGGGTTATGGGTGTGGAAGGAAAGCGGGGCACAAAAAGCGTCTTTGGAGGGCTGGAAGGGTTCACAAAAGGCGTCTTGAGATGACTGGACGTTGTCGAATTCAGCACCCACGTCTGCGGAGGAAGGCCGATGAGGTGATTGCGCATGTGGCATAGCTGTTGTGTTGTCGGCCTCCCACGGGTCTGGACGGTAGAGATAAGGAACGTATCGATACGAATACGCCAACGTGTTGTGTGAGACCAAGAGACTGGTAGAAAATGAGAGTAGTAAAACGCGATGCTCACAAATGAAGCGGCAGTCAAGACGTTAACATGCTCCGCCATGCCCCGGCGAATGGGATTGCCTGGAAACCTGGTCATTGTCACCTAGACGATTCTTGCGCGGGTTCCTACTGCCAGCACACCTGCAGGCTTGACGCTGCAGCGTCGCTTGTATGGACAAACAAAGGATGAGATCTCATCGCAAGGACGGCGGATCTGAGGACCCTGGCCGCAGGCGCAGCTGCAGACGTGATGTCACGGAGCGACAAGTACCGGTACAGCATCACCGCCCCACGGCCCGAGACGCAGCCTAGAGACCCTCATTGCACTACTCCATCAACCAGTGTGAATGACTCTCTGTACCACCACTGCAGCCAACGATTGCCTGCTTGACACCGGCATACGGGAAGGCGCAGACGTCCACTTATAACATCAACATGCGCATAGAGGTGGCCCACTTGTAACATCGAAACGTCCATCGGCCTGCACGGCAGTCTCCCGCTCTTCGATGTTCCTGCCCGGCTTCGGTGCATGTCCTGGAAATTGTCCGAGAGCAAGAGGCAAGATGTTGTTCATTGTAGTTGTCAGCATACGCGTCCAAGCTATTCTTCGACGCTGTAACAATCATCCTGACATAGGTGACTGCCTCCAAGGACCTGCATTCCTCGTCTGCAAACTCTATCCCAAAAAGGTCATTAACGGCATATGTTCTGCAGGCGCAAGGATGTGACATGATGTGCTGCGCCTGCAAAGAGGCAGTAGGTGAGCAACCGTTTGGGAGCAGACCCCACAGAGGCCTGTAACACGACTTCTACCATTTTTCTTCCGGTGAAGCTGATTCGTAGTCCTTGCCCAAGTAATAGTCATCCGTGATAGGCCCTCGTCACGGCCCTGTCACCGCTCGAAGAGGAGTGTACACCGCCAACGGACCCGAAAACGGAGATGCTGCACGTTGCGAGGATATGAGAGCCGGTAGAAACGTCACCGCCAATGTGGTGGTCACGGGTGATGGCGCAACGAGAGAAGCCTGGATTTGATACTCAAGAAGCACCTATCGATGGAGAGGGTCCTGTGCAACGTCCGCCCTATTTCTTATCCTATCGCGCCGTTTGGTGTAAGAGGGGCCAGGTACAGCGGGGTAGGCTGTGAAGCGTCCATGTCACCCAAAGGGGGCTTAGCTACTTTCGATAGTATATCTGCCACGATGTTAGTGTGATGCCAGTGTGATGCCGTTCCGGTCATGCGATCTTGACATACCTTCTTGAATTGGAAGTGGAGTTGCAAGATGCCCTGCATTGCGTTAGCCACGTAGCTAGTACAGTGAGTATGACTGGACGTACCTTGTCAAAGCTACTCTTGAACCCACGTTCTCTTTTGGCGCTGTAGTCCCATTCCTTGTCGATGATGCGGAAGGCAATATCCTCATAGGGCGGGCCGGCAATGAACCGGATGAGGCACGTGTCGTCTTCACCGGCCGGCGCGAAGGACTGGCCCTTTTTGCGGCCGTTCTCCCGTTCGATCTTGTAGGTGGGTGCTTTTGATTTGTCGATGAGGTCGGGGTAAAAGATGTTGAACTTGTAGCCCTGTACAACCTTTGGTGGCGGGTTGTCGTGATCGTAGTGCGTTTGGTTGTACTTGTTCCATTCATAGCCCATCTGGACGCGGTTGAAGTAGCGGGGTTTCCGGGGCTTGTAGCTGCCAGCCCACTGGGGCCGGGCGGTCGTGACTTCCTCCTCCGCGGTAAAGATTTCCTCGCCTTCCTCCACGCCTCGCGCGACTTCCCTCTCGTATAGCGCCATGGTTGCCTTGGAGTAGTCTTCTTTCTCGACAGGCGCAAATCGTGAGGCGCTCGTTGTTACCGTCTGGCTCGTCGTGGGCTGACTGCTGGTGGTGGTTGGGTCGCTGGATTTGGCCTGTGACGGCACATAGCCAATCTTCTTGATCTTTCCCCTTTCGGTAGCCAGACTCTCCAGGAACGCTTTCTCATCCGTCTGTGGTAGCGCCTTGTCTTCGGCGCGCAGCTTCAGTAGGGGTTGGGGATCGAAGGCTGCATCGTATTCGACAGTCGTTGGCTGCGCCTCGCTCGCCTCATCGGTGCCGTTGAGCATAGCGTATATCCTATTCTGTACAGATGCAGCTGCGTCAGCCTGCTGCTTGCGCAATGTCTGCAGTCGCTCCCGGACAATCTCCTGCGAAACGCGCCGCAGCTTCGCCTTGGCCTTCCACACGCGCAGACTCCGCAGCAGCTGTTCCCAGTAGTCGTAGTCGATTGGCTCGTCCGAATCGAGCTTCTTCTTGACCTGCACCTCTAGCGTCTCCAGCTGTTCGAACGTCTTTGGGGAGAGCAGCTGATCGATGTCGGCGGCCACGGAGCTGGTGCCGCGGGCTTCGGACTTGGAGGATTTGGATTTGCGGCGGATGTCTTTGCAGATTGCTTTGAGGGACTGAGGGGTTAGCAGCGTCTAATATCGCAATGTGTATGATACTTACATTCCAGTAGTCGCGATTGCTCCTGCTCGTCTCGAGTGTGAGGTAATTCTCAATCTCCTTTTCCAGCTCTGCGAGATCTTCATTGTTGAGCCCCTCCAGCACACCTTCCGGATCGACTATGTCGAGCTCGTGATCTTCCACCTCCTCGTCCAGCATCGACTTCTCCGTGGGATCGATAAAGCGCAGCGTGACGGCCAGCCAGTCGATGGGTCGCGCGCGCCCGCCCTTGACGCGCAGTGCCGCCTTCTTCTTGGCCTGCTGCAGCACGAAGCGATCTTCATCTGCCACCCACGCCTCCTCTGCCGCGTTTGTCGACCGTTTCGCAGGGTTGTCGTGTGCTCGTGAGTCGGCTGACCGCTTCGCTGGAATTGACGAGGACGGCGCGTTGCGCTGGGGAAGGCGATTGCGCTCGTTGCGCCAGGGAGGTTCACGTGACGACATACTTCACAATAGGCCGGATTTGTAGTATGGAGATATGTTGTTGAGGTTTGGTCTGGCCGGCGCAGATCGCGAAATCTTTGGCCGAGGCTGGTGACGTACGGCTGCCTTCCGCGCGCGCAGGGATCTACTCCCGATTAGGAACAGTCTTGGCGCGGTTGCCTTTCACCTGCGCCTCACCTACGCTTCACGTGTCAGCTCAAACCCCACAAAGGTCGCGTGTGTCACGCGTCTGCGCTCATCTGCAAACATGCACTCCGTCACTTCATTTATTCCAGGTTGACATGTCGTGTTGGCGCGTGCTGGAGCTCTCCGAGCAGCCTGACGGCAAGCAGATTCCCCAGCTACTCATCAAACCCGCCTTCGACCTGGACTCGTACACAGTCCATCTTACCGATCTCAGCAACATCTGGAGCGAAGAACTCAGCGTAGATGACATCGTCAAGCGGGCTGCATTGGAGCAATCGCCAATCGAAGTCAGCAAACACGACGCGGCGCAGGTTGCCATCCTTCTCGAAAATGTCAAGAAACCCCTACTGAGTGCGGAGGGTTCCATTTGTTGTGTCACTCGTCATGACACGGATGGAATTACTCTACACACCAGTATAGGCCTTCCGGAGCCTCTTGGCCGCCTGACATGGAAATTTCATTTGGAAAAGCGAACATCTGCAGACCTCAAGAACGAGCTCATCCTCCCGCTCCTGGTCTCTTCCCACATCCAGAATGAACGCATTACTGGGCTCATCTTGACAATCGCTGCCAAAGACAAGGCAATGACTCGGCTTGTGGATCAGTTCGACTCCCACGGCTTGGACCTGGCTGCGGCCTTCCCCAGCGCCGGTGGAATCAAGGCGGGACGAAGGAAAGTCAAACGCGAACAAGCGGAAAAGCACGTTCCCGCTTTACGGTTCTTCCACGAGGAAGCATGGCGGCATGATACCGAGCAATTGAAAGACACAAACCTGACTACGCTAGGCTTATTCCAGGAAGCACTAGCACAGAGCACTCCGACAGTACCTTCGGAGTTGAAGTCGGGTCATTTTGAGACTACATGGTGGACTGCTGTACCTACTCAGTTAAGCATGCCGAAAGCCCCAGTCAAAACCAAGGCCAAAACGCCTCCTGTGGCATCAAAGCCAGCAAAAGCAGCTATGGACTCTGGTGATGAGACAGAAGAAGAGTTTGAGACTCATGTGAACTTCAAGGTAAGGGTGTGGAGAAGTACTGTAGTGCGCAATAACTAACACTTTCAGACACGCGAACTCGGCAAAAGGCCAACACAGACTCCGGCGCCATTACCGTCGTCGCCCCTCGACAAGGCTAGTGAGACGGAAGACGACAGTACTGAGGACGATGAGGATCTGGATGCGCCTCCCAAGAGTCAGAGCCAGAGTCTAAGTCGGACCCCACAGAAGCCAACTCGTAGAAGGACGCCCACACCAGAACCTCGATCTGCACCAAAGGCTCCTACACTCCCGGTACAAAAGCCCAAAGCAAGCAGCTTTCGAATAGGCGGGAAGTCAAAAAGATCGACCGAGTCTCCTCCGCCATCGCCGAAGCCCGCAGATGTGGAGCCAGAACCAGAGGTCCTACCGACCAGGGAATCCGTACCTCCTTCTCAGCCCAGCCAAGCGACAACGCCAAAGAAGATCCGAAAGCCGTTTAGAATTGGTGGCAAGGGCAAGAAAGCCGAGGATGGTGCTTCACAACGCGACACGACAGCTTCACCAAGCACCCAGCGCTTCAGAGCAACGCAATCGCCGACTGCAGACCCTCCATCGTCTCCGCCGAGAATGAAGGAGATGACGCCCGTCGAGGAGGTTCACGAAGAGACACCTGAGGAGAAGGCGGAGCGGAAGCGCGCTGAGTTGAAGCGGAAGAACGAGGAGGCAGCGAAGAAGCAGGCTCATGCAAAGAAAAAGAAGAGGTTCTAAGCAGAGCCTTTTCATATACCGCGACTGTCAAAGAATGTCTTCCAATCTATTCGCTAGGGTAATCATGAAGGTCACGAGTTACGGGGTTGGATTTCTCTTTGACAGCGTTGATATCCCACGACTACTCGTATGCTTGTTAAGTCGTCATTGTTTTCACTACTACGTCTCACATGGACAGAGAAAACCGTAAACTATGCACTTGATCTAATCCCGCGTGCGTGGTATTACGCCGGCAAACAATATGCTTGGTCTACTACAATGTGCTCGAGGTAGGGCGAGTTCCATGTTCCTGATTGAAGTCCACCTTCACCTGCGATCGCGCGCTCCTTCCGCGTCCGTCACCTCCGTTTGTTTACCTCGCGCCTGCTAGTCGCGCACCACGCCCAACACCGCGCTCTCTCCCACCTCACCTCCTCCTTCCCTCTACACATCTTTTGGATAGTCGACGTCGACGCTTCCTGCTGGTTGCGGTTGACAACCGCTACCCGGCATCATGTGTTTATATCATTACTCTTACGTCGCGGTCTGTGACCACGCCGAGTTCACCAGAATATCCTACTGCAGCAACGCGATAACACTAGGTTTGCCTAGAACGTAAGCACTCCATTCTCGAGTACTATCTTCCCTTTGCTAATAGTCGCAGCGTCAGTCATTTGCCAGACGACCCCAGTGCAGACGGCAACCCCGACACTCAGTCTGGCTCATCTACTCCTCGACCAGCATCATCCGCCAACAACAGTAGTTCATCGCATTCGCAGTCGCATTCGCATACTCAGCAGCAGTTCCAGTCACAGCATAACAACAACATGTCCACTCTCACGCCGTCTGAAGCTGGCCGCGCGCCGACCTGGGACGCCATCGTACAGGAGCGAGATGCACAGGTCCATCATCAGACTGCTTTCATCCCGCGCTCTGCCCTTCCCGACGGACCTCGTACAAGGCGAGCCAACACTCTCAACGACGCTAGACCTGTATTGGATACACCAGCTTACAGCAACGTCAACATTGATATCCCATTGGATCCGCAGTCTTCATTGCATATGGAAGTCACTCATAATGGTATGGTTACTGAGCTCGTCGCTCGATTTGAGTCTTATGGCGCTTACTCTGACGTCTGCGAAGTATCCCCCGACGAGCCTACCGAGTCAGCTTCCGGTATCGACAACGCCGCTGCACATCAGGAGCAAGTCGAGCAGCAGTACGACGCTTATACCATCGGTACATCAGGGCGCAGTCCCCGCAAATCCATACCCACCCAATGGCTTACGAAGAGTACTGCCCCCAACCTCGCAACGGCGCAGCGTGCAAAGGCGCGAACATCCAAGACAGCATGGGATAATGACTCTCCGGATGAAGTCAAGACACTCCGTGGAACGCGCAGTTCTGTCGATCTCAGTAGAGCTCATGGCAAGGACAGCGCAACATTTCTTACAAAGGAAGCCCTGGCTACGGTTGAAAGCACCATAGCATCGCCGACGTCCCCGCTCAGCCCCAGCAGACTGCATGGCTCTCCAACGAAGCGGCCCTGGAACAGTCCCACTGGATCGCCTCTCCGCAGCAGCGCCCGCCATCAGTCAAGCTTCTCCCTCCGCATGTCGCCGACAAAGTCAACACACCTCAACACCGACTCGATCTCTGCAGGACACTCGCGAGCATCTAGCAGCGTTGCGACATCCACCGGCAGGGCTTCGTTTCACACTGCACAGGGGTCGCCAGTAAGGAGTCCTGCAAGCACGGAGCATAGCTTCCAATCTGCTGCAGAGAACCCTGAAGACCTTGACGTCCCCAGCGTTGACTTGTATGCTGACAGCGATGATGAGCAGGTGCAGCACGAGTCCGGTAGCCCCCAATCTGCGGCCGCGAGAACGAACGCTAAAGAAAAGCGAAAGTCATTGACACCGAGGCTTTCGCTTGTCATTCCTACGCCTCGCCGTGACAATCGTGAAGATTCCATGGACTCCCGCCTTGTCGGCGGTCCGCTGAGTCCAGAATCGCCCACACAGGTGTCTCGCATTCCCCGAGCCGGTACCAGCAGCAAGACCGCATCCCCCGTACGCACCATCAAGCGCATCGAATCTGTCAAGTCATTGCAGAAGAAGATCAAGGAGCTACAGCTAGCTATGCAGATGGATGCAGCCCAGTTAGATGCTATCCAGATCCCCCTACCCGCGACGCCCGCGCCGGCCCCTCTGCGTCATGTCCGCACCGTCGACAGCACCGGTTCAACTCCGATCATCTCGCGAACTTCTGGATCACTCAAACGTGATGGAATGGCTGATTTTGCTTCTGAAGATGACCGAAAACAGTCTACACGCGGCAAAGGTCCTGCAATTGCTGCGGATAACGCCAGCCCAGACCAGCCAGACGACGCACCGGACTGTGATGCTAGCTACGAGCACGCTCAAACGTTCAAGGTCGATGAAGAGGCAGCGCACAACGCCGTACAACCCAAGAACGTGCCATGGGGTGTTCCGACAAGTCTTGCTCATGGTACGACGCTCACACGTCCTATCAGCGTACCCACGATCGTCGTCATGATGGCTCACAATTTGGACATAGGGAACCTGAACCTCAACACCCAACAACACGAGGCTGTTTCCGACTCCAAGAACCGAGTCGATGACGTCGAGAACACGTCTTCATCCAGAGGGCGGAGTGAACGGTATGTACCCAGTGATCGTAATCAAGCAGACAGCGGGCGTTCATCGCAATCTAGTATGGGCTCGGACCTTCGCGCAACTGCTACGGAATTCGTACCTCAGCCTCCGACCACGACCAGTCCGATCGACGCTTCCACGGAGAACACACCTCTCAGTCAATCTCTCGACATAGCCGACCTGCCGGATGCGACGGTGCTCGATAGAAACGGCGTACCTTTCCTTTGGTACATGTACGGCGTACAGTTTGCTTACGAACAGGGCTACCGCAACGGTCGTCCAAAGTCGCCCAAGAAGTACAAGCCGAACAAGAACCAGCGCAAGTCTATCTCCTCTCCAGCCGATGCTGCGCCTTATGCCTCAAAGGCCGTCCCCATCAACAACCCCGGACTAGCGACTCCTCTTTCGGCCGCAGCGAAGCAGCGCATGACATCCGCAGAGCTGATGCCGCCTCCGCCGCTCCCTACTAGACCACGTCAGGAGGAGACTCACCAAGAAAACTACCATCCCAGTTCTAGTCGCATGATGTCACCCCCGCAGATACTCGAGCCTATTCCAAACCAGCCTTTCGCACACCAGCTTAGTTTGATCGAACAGACCGCCAACAGCAACCGCGCCAACAGCAACGCTCCCCGTCACTTTGGCGTTAACCCACAACCCTGGGTTGGTTTCCCATCTGGCCCTCGCAACGCGCACCCTCCCACGTACTACACTGTACCTCGCCATGGTCACCGCAACAACCGTGGCAATGGCCTGTACGGCGGTCGCGGCAACGCTGCCGGTGTCCCCATTGATGCTACCGCCCCGTTCCCCAGCCCCACCGCACCACAGGGCCGACCCGACCAACGCCAGACCTACGAGCCGGCAGCCGTTGATTACTCAGACTACACTATCGGAAAGGAATCTTGTGGTCTGGTCAACATCACTGTTGCGACAGAGCGTGCTGGTGGCGAGCCATGTAATGCATGTGCTCCCGACCATTGAAGGCCCCAGCTGTCATTCGCGAGATGATTGGATAAGAAATTGAATGACGGAATGGACATGGGAGGATAACATAGTTTGGACAGAGAAAGGCTATTGGTATCGTACTGGATACGTCCTTGAGATTGCACATGGCATACGAAGCATGTCTTACCAGGGGACGAATAGGACCGATGGATGGGATTGCTTGAGTAGTAGTTGATAACGAGGAATGAATAAAACGTATATGATCATGACTGTTCGGTAATTAAGCCAAGATCAAGGGTGAGCCTTGCTGTTCATCTCGACATTCGCGTGTTGTCAATGAAGACGTTATGACCTTTCTTTCATCCGGATGCGGACACTAAAGGCAACCTGAGAGGCGCCACACTGCGCATTACCGGCCTCCCCATCGTGATTTTCGGAGATACAGCATACCCATGATGTATTACACTCACAATAAGCTACCTTTCTATTCCTTCGAGACACTCGACAGCGACATCACTCCATGATGCTTGTCTCTCTCATTTCCCTCCTCCTAATCTCCTCACGGCAACTACAAGCCTCCGCAATCCTGTTATCCGACCTATCTTTATGCGCTGTAAGCCTTCCTTCTTTCCCCAGCAACCCCCGACCGCGCCCTCACTCACTTACCGCCATCGCAGGAAAAATGCGTCATAGAAACCATCACCTTCCACGGGTCCAACAACGAATTCTGCGATCTCTATGCACCCATGAACCCCGCGTGTACCTGCTACCGTCGGAATCGGCCCGTTGCTGGCCTAGGGAAATGCGGCGATGAGGAAGTGGGTAGGGATGTGCTTGATGAGGGGTGTGAGGCTAAAGACTTTGAGGACGCGGAGGATTATGTGGAGGGGGTGTGTGGGAGTGGGAGTGTGAGGGGTCGTAATGGCCGTGGTGGTGGTTTTTCGAGTGAGGATACTTCCGTTTCGTCAACGGCATTAGCTGGGGGAACCACGATGTTGGAGACGACGAGTACGAGCGGGCACGATGCTGGGTGGACGGCCGAGGAGACTATGACTACAACTACGTCGCTACAACCTACGCCTGCGTCTTCAGATTCGATGAACGCGGCGGTATCTTTGCGTACTGGGGGCGAGGCTTCTGAAGCCACTACCGAGGCAGGCAGTCAGAGTAGAGCGCATAATTCTGCTCTTGCAAGCACCAGTGTGACAAAGATTACGCCGACTTCTTCCGCATTGCCGCCACAAACACATACATCCGCCCGGCGTCTGTCTCCCAGCGCCAAAATCGCTTTGGCAGCAGGCATACCCTGCGGCGCGCTGTTTTTGGTCATCTTTTGCGCGAGCGTGCGCCTGGTTTCCAAACGGAGGAACGTCACGAAAGTGAAGGAGATCACGC